CCGCCTAGACAGTGCAGTTAAGTGTATAAACATTTCAGACGTAAATATTGAGTCGAAAATCTTGCTTCTAGGCATTCAATTGAGTGCCGATATTATTTTTTCACGACATACTCATTATACAGAGGTCATTGTACTGTAGTACGTGCAGGCAGAAGCGAGACAGTGTTGTTTTCAAGTATATAAACATTTCAGACATGAATATTGAGAAAGTCTTTGAGATTCTACGGAATAATAGTAATACAATATATATTAAAAATTGATGTTATGCATTACCGTCAATATTATTTAGACCGTGTATTCATTATACATTCTCATTGACTGTATAAGGTGCTACATCACAGAATAGATGGCTATACTCAGTACAAAGAGCGAAAAATTGCATCAGATTTGTATCAGATCAATAAGGCATAAATTCAACACATGCGAAAAGCTGAAAATAGACACACGTCACACTGGGAAAAGTCAAAGGTCAATGAAACTTGTTATTGTGAAACATGTCACAATTAAGTTAAAATGCGGAAGCGGATAGAGCGGATCCACGGAACGGATATGCGGATAAAATACGGAACGGATGAGGATAAAATGCGTCTTTTAATGATGTAACGACGTAGTGCTTATTATTCATAACATATCTTATACAGCTATTTCATAGTTTATTAGATAAATTTAGCATAGCAGTAGTCTCGTGGGGATGCTTTCAGCGACAGCTGCAAATGCAAATGCAAATGAAAATTTAGAATATGCAAAATTTGGTTGTTGGTGACACAATAAATAGATGAATTGCATCAGTTTCACAAGGCACGTTTCTGATGTGTTAGGCTTGTTTCAAACGTCACGCTACTCGTGTGCCGAGCGTATTAAAAACAATAAATAATGAGATGAAATGCCTTTGGTAACTGTTTATTTCGTAGTGTAAGCCATCAAGCTTTTCTAGGTTGTCGGCGACCCTATATAGTTCTCGCAGTGTCTTTTTAAATTTGAAACTTCACACTATCCTTGGATCCCTAGTTCAAGTTTTGCATACAGGATTATATACTCATGCAGCGTGTCTTTTTGTAAACTTCAGTCATGAAATAATTAAACGGGACAATTACTGTGAATGTGCATGTCATTCCCAACAGCATGGTAATATCTATAACTTTAAAACTGCATGTTAAAATGAACTTTCAACTGTTATTACAAATCCTATTGAACTCTCGTATAAGCCTTACTACACCCTTCCCCATCTTACAATTTTAGTTTCCTGGCGTATTTTTCCTTGCAAAATAATGTGAAATATTCGTGAATATCATTTCTTCGTAAACCAACATTTTAGCGAGGCGGGGAGGAAGGTGGTGAACTGAATAAAGAAACTTACAACCTTACGCTACCCATGGCAAGTGGTTATGCTTATGCTAAGAAACCTGCATTGAAACAGCTTAAAGACAATACATTTTTAAATGTTTGAATAACGCAAATCATTAAAAAATTGCATAGCATGACCTGTTGCTATCTCTAGCATCGCCACTGCTGTTGGTTCCCCGTGGTATTTTTCCTTAGAAAGATAACGTGAAATATTCGTGAGTGTCATTCTCCGGTGAATGTTACACTTTCAAGAAGCATTGTTAGTCGAGGTATTTCTACAACTTGTCCTAATTAAGTAATTGTTCAAGAATTCACTTGCTTTGCGCAAAGTGTAATACATTTACTCTTGGAAATAGGCTGTACATTTTCGGGTTTTTAAAATTTTTCGACGAGTATGCCATTGAGCGTTCGCAAATGTTCATTGGTATTCTTAGCAACGGGGGCGGGGTAATAGGATACACATGTCTTATCCGAAGTTTAGCCGCAATTGTTTTTATTTCCAGATATATAAAACAGTGGAAATACTGCCCTCTCCTAATGGAAAGTTGCCCTCACATCGTAGTGCTTATATATTCAAATTTTCAGTGCTTCATACGCCCCTGCAAATACTCTCTTCCCTGTGGTGAAATTTAGTCTCTAATTCCCTTAATTAGCTTAATGTTATTGCAATATAATTCTTGTTCTGTTTTCGTCTTTTAGATGCTGTGGTTTCACAACAACCTGAGGAGCTATCTTTTGTCCCTGTTGAAGGTGAATATTTTTAAAACAAACTCCTAGCTTAGTTTATATTTTTCTCAAACTCCGGGCCTTTCGCGGTAAAGAGAAATCGCTTAAAACTCATAAAAACCATTCACATGCAGTGAACCTGCGACAGACGGTTTGTTTTTGCAGATGCGCGGAATTAAGTTCTGTCTCTTACCCTATTCAGAGCAAAAGAGAAAAGTTGAAGAACCAATAATATTCAAAAAATACAAAGAATGGACATTCCGAAAACAAATTCGACGTTTCGACTATCTTACAGTCTGGCATCATCAGGGTCATTCCTGATGTCGAAATGTCGAATTAAAAGTGTTTTAAAACTATTTTCGGAGTGTCCATTGTTTTGTATTTTTTTAAATTACTCAGTGGTAACCGGAACATATAGCTAATAATCTTCGCTTTACATTTTTGGTTTTGCATGCGGGAATGTGTACTCCACGTGTCCTTTAGTAAACTTCAATCATGAAATAATTATAAATGGGACAATTACTGTGAATGCGACATTCCCAACAACCTGGGGCCGTTTGTATAAAAAAGTGATTAAAGTTAAAGATGATGTCCACTCCTGTGCACATGCGCGAACTTTGTTTACGTTTTGAACTGCTATATATTTCAGTAAAATATGATCCACTAACTGAATATCTAACACTTTAATTCTGGTTCACTATACTTGTAAATTAATATAAACTGTATATTTCAATTCAAAAAAGTTCGAAGGATGCAAAATTTAGGCAATGTTTATATATGGGGGGTCCCCCTTTGTTATGAGCAGAACTGATGCGCAGAACGGAGTGGAAATCATCTTTAATTAACTATAGTTAGTGGAAACGTCATCGAATAAGAAGCGCGTATTTGAGAGTTAATCATTCTTTAACTACAAAATGTTGGTTAAAAAAGTGATTAAGAGTTTTTTTTTACATTGTGGTAATATCTATAACTTATAACTGTCAAAATGAAATTTTAACTGGTATAAAAAAATTTATTAATAATTCATACGAAAATACAAAGGAAATGAATGTTTAATCAATGTCTGTATATCGGATAAAGATTTGTCCTGATTTACATAAACTTCGGCTTTAATTTTCTCGGCTTAGACATTGTTTATTTTTAAAATTTCTTCGCCAATGAACTCATAAGATGGGTCGTTTTTTAACTACAGTTACTAAACATTCGCATCCGGATCTTTATCTGATATACAAACTCTCGCCTTCGGCTCGAGTTTGTATATCAGATATAGACCTGCATGCTGCTCATGTTTTAACTAGTACTTGCAAATCCTATTGAACTCTCGTATAAGCCCTACTCCTTTCTCCACCCTACAATTTTAGTTTCCTGGCGTATATTTCGTTGGAAAATAATGTGAAATATTCGTGAATATCATCTCTTCGTGAACCAACATTTTAGCGAGGCGGGGAGGGAGGTGCATAGTGAACTAAGTAAAGAAACTTACAACCTTACGCTACCCATGGCAAGTGGTCATGCTTATGCTAAGAAACCTGCATTTGAACAGCTTAATTAAAGACAATGCATTTTTAAATGTTTGAATACCGTAAATCATTAAAAATTGCATAGCATGACCTGTTGCTATCTCTAGCATCGCCACTGCTGCTGGTTCCCCATGGTATTTTTCCTTAGAAAGATAACGTGAAATATTCGTGAGTGTCATTCTTCGGTGAATGTTATACTTTCAAGAAGCATTGTTAGTCGAGGTATTTCTACAAGTTGTCCTAATTAAGTAATTAAGTAATTGTTCCAGAATTCACTTGCTTTGCGCAGAGTGTAATACATTTACTCTTGGAAATAGGCTGTAAATTTTCGGGATTTTTTAATTTTTCGACGAGTATGCCATTGAACGTTCACAAATATTCAGTGGTATATTGGCAACGTGGGCCGGGTAATAGGATACACATGCATGCCTTATCCGAAGTTTAGCCGCAATTGTTTTTATTTCCAGGTAAAACAGTGGAAATACTGCCCTGTCCTAATGGAAAGTTGCCCTCACGTCGTATAGTGCTTATTCAAATTTTCAGTGCTTCATACGCCCCTGCAAATACTCTCTTCCCTGTGGTGAAATTTAGTCTCTAATTCCCTTAATTAGCTTAATGTTATTACAATATAATTCTTGTTCTGTTTTCGTCTTTAGATGCTGTGGTTTCACAACAACCTGAGCAGCTATCTTTTGTCCCTGTTGAAGGTGAATATTTTAAAACAAACCTCTAGCCTATAGTTTTTATTTTTCTTAAAACTCATAACTAAACCATTCACAGTGAACCTGCGACAGACGCTTTGTTTTTGCAGATGCGCGGGATTAAGTTCTTTCTCCTAACTTATTCAGAGCAAAAGAGAAAAGCTGAAGAACCAATAATATTATAAAAAATACAAACTCCGCTTACAGTCGTCATCAGGGTCATTCCTGATGTCGAAATGTCGACTTTCGGAAAGCGTAAAAATACACTCCCCTGCGGCTCGAGTATTTTTACGCTTTCCGAAAGTCTCGCGACATCCCTCGTGCGTGGATCACACAATCGTGCACGGAAACCATTCGGTGTTCCTTTACTCCACGAGTCCGTTGCTAAACTTCAATCATGAAATAATTAAACGGGACAATTACTGTGGATGCGACATCCCCAACAACCTGGGGCTGGTTGTATAAAAAATTGCATAGCATGACCTGTTGCAATCTCTAGCTTCGCCACTGCCCTATTCTTATGTAAAACAGTGGAAAAGTTGCCCTTTCTTGATGGAAAGTTGCCATATACGACGTATGGTACATACTCAAATTTTCGGTGCTTCCTATCCCCCTGCAAGTATATTGTGTTGGCTTCGGGGAAATTTAGTCGTTCATTCCCTCAATTAGTTCAATGATATAACAATATAGTTCTTGTTCTGTTTTCAGCTTCTAGTCCTGAGATTTCACAACAAACTGGAGACCTACATTTAGTTAATATGGAATTAGGTATAAATATTTTTGTAACAAAACCTGTATAAAAAATATAAATTTTATAAAAAAATGGTTAAAACAACCAATATTTTGGTTGCTTTGATCAAGTAAATTTGGTCAAAAAGAGATGCTTCTGAGACAACAATTTGAATTGGTTATTTCAACCAATCTGTTTTTTCAGCGTGGTAATATCTAACACTGTCAAAATGAACTTTTAACTGTTATTGCATGCAAATGCTGTAGAACTCTCGTATAAGCCCTATACTTTTCCTTTCCCCACTTTACAATTTTAGTTTCCTGGCGTATTTTTCCTTGGAAAATAATGTGAAATATTCGTGAATATAATTTCTTCGTGAACCAACATTTTAGCGAGGCGGGGAGGGAGGTGCATGGTGAACTGAATAAAGAAACTTACTGCAACCTTACGCTACCCATGGCAAGTGGTTATGCTTATGCTAAGAAACCTGCATTGAAACAGCTTAAAGACAATACATTTTTAAATGTTTGAATAACGCAAATCATTAAAAAATTGCATAGCATGACCTGTTGCTATCTCTAGCATCGCCACTGCTGTTGGTTCCCCGTGGTATTTTTCCTTAGAAAGATAACGTGAAGTATTCGTGAGTGTCATTCTCCGGTGAATGTTACACTTTCAAGAAGCATTGTTAGTCGAGGTATTTCTACAACTTGTCCTAATTAAGTAATTGTTCAAGAATTCACTTGCTTTGCGCAAAGTGTAATACATTTACTCTTGGAAATAGGCTGTACATTTTCGGGTTTTTAAAATTTTTCGACGAGTATGCCATTGAGCGTTCGCAAATGTTCATTGGTATTCTTAGCAACGGGGGCGGGGTAATAGGATACACATGTCTTATCCGAAGTTTAGCCGCAATTGTTTTTATTTCCAGATATATAAAACAGTGGAAATACTGCCCTCTCCTAATGGAAAGTTGCCCTCACATCGTAGTGCTTATATATTCAAATTTTCAGTACTTCATACGCCCCTGCAAATACTCTCTTCCCTGTGGTGAAATTTAGTCTCTAATTCCCTTAATTAGCTTAATGTTATTGCAATATAATTCTTGTTCTGTTTTCGTCTTTTAGATGCTGTGGTTTCACAACAACCTGAGGAGCTATCTTTTGTCCCTGTTGAAGGTGAATATTTTTAAAACAAACTCCTAGCTTAGTTTATATTTTTCTCAAACTTCGGGCCTTTCGCGGTAAAGAGAAATCGCTTAAAACTCATAAAAACCATTCACATGCAGTGAACCTGCGACAGACGGTTTGTTTTTGCAGATGCGCGGAATTAAGTTCTGTCTCTTACCCTATTCAGAGCAAAAGAGAAAAGTTGAAGAACCAATAATATTCAAAAAATACAAAGAATGGACATTCCGAAAACAAATTCGACGTTTCGACTATCTTACAGTCTGGCATCATCAGGGTCATTCCTGATGTCGAAATGTCGAATTAAAAGTGTTTTAAAACTATTTTCGGAGTGTCCATTGTTTTGTATTTTTTTAAATTACTCAGTGGTAACCGGAACATATAGCTAATAATCTTCGCTTTACATTTTTGGTTTTGCATGCGGGAATGTGTACTCCACGTGTCCTTTAGTAAACTTCAATCATGAAATAATTATAAATGGGACAATTACTGTGAATGCGACATTCCCAACAACCTGGGGCCGTTTGTATAAAAAAGTGATTAAAGTTAAAGATGATGTCCACTCCTGTGCACATGCGCGAACTTTGTTTACGTTTTGAACTGCTATATATTTCAGTAAAATATGATCCACTAACTGAATATCTAACACTTTAATTCTGGTTCACTATACTTGTAAATTAATATAAACTGTATATTTCAATTCAAAAAAGTTCGAAAGAAGCAAAATTTAGGCAATGTTTATATATGGGGGGTCCCCTTTTGTTATGAGCAGAACTGATGCGCAGAACGGAGTGGAAATCATCTTTAATTAACTATAGTTAGTTGAAACGTCATCGAATAAGAAGCGCGTATTTGAGAGTTAATCACTCTTTAACTACAAAATGTTGGTTAAAAAAGTGATTAAGAGTTTTTTTTACATTGTGGTAATATCTATAACTTATAACTGTCAAAGTGAAATTTTAACTGTTGTAAAAAATTCATTAATAATTCATACGAAAATACAAAGGAAATGAATGTTTAATCAATGTCTGTATATCGGATAAAGATTTGTTTTGATTTACATAAACTTCGGCTTTAATTTTCTCGGCTTAGACATTGTTTATTTTTAAAATTTCTTCGCCAATGAACTCATAAGATGGGTCGTTTTTTAACTACAGTTACTAAACACTCGCATCCGGATCTTTATCTGATATACAAACTCTCGCCTTCGGCTCGAGTTTGTATATCAGATATAGACCTGCATGCTGCTCATGTTTTAACTAGTACTTTCAAATCCTATTGAACTCTCGTATAAGCCCTACTCCTTTCTCCACCTTACAATTTTAGTTTCCTGGCGTATATTTCGTTGGAAAATAATGTGAAATATTCGTGAATATCATCTCTTCGTGAACCAACATTTTAGCGAGGCGGGGAGGGAGGTGCATAGTGAACTAAGTAAAGAAACTTACAACCTTACGCTACCCATGGCAAGTGGTCATGCTTATGCTAAGAAACCTACATCTAAACAGCTTAAAGACAATACATTTTTAAATGTTTGAATACCGTAAATCATTAAAAAATTGCATAGCATGACCTGTTGCTATCTCTAGCATCGCCACTGCCCTATTCCCAGGTAAAACAGTGCAAAAGTTGTCCTTTTGAAGACGTGTATAGTACGTATTCAAATTTTTAGTGCTTCCTATATCCCCTGCAAATATTGTGTTAGCTGCGGGGAAATTTAGTCGTTTATTCCGTCAGTTGTAGTCAGTTCAATGATGATATTACAATATAATACTTGTTCTGTTTTCAGGTTCAAATCCTTGGGTTTCACAACAAGCTGGGGACCTACGTTTAGTTAGTATCAAAGGTAAATATTTTTATAACAAAACCTGTAGGCAATTTTTTATTTTCTTGAAATTCGGGCCACGCATACATTTAAAAAACCACATGGTTTAAAAAAACCATTGACAGTGTGAGACAACGACAGCCGCTTTGTCTTCTTTACACATGCGGAAAGAAGTTCTTATTGGCAACCTATATACAGGGTGTCCCAAAAAAATCGGAAACTATTGAAATCACCAATAACAATTTAATTGTTAGAATTTGAATGCCTTAGCGCTGTTCCCACGAGTGCATAAATGATTGACAGAAGTAAATTTTATGCATAAAGAAACTGTTTAAGAAACTGTTTTTAATTCCCAGGAGCAGAAAATCGCGCACTTTACTAGGAGATATTCCTAACTAAATTCTAATACATGCACTTGTCAATATTTTACGCATCATTACGTCCAGCTGTTTGGTAGGGCATTCAAATTTAACAATAAGTGATTTCTATAGTTTCCGTTTTTTTTGGGACACCCTGTATATCGCCATGTGCTGATGACAGAAAGTTGCCGATCTATACGAGCTTGCATATATCGCTTGAATTGAGAACAAAAGAGAAAATTTGAAGAACCAATGACCTTCTCTTTACATTTTTGAGTTTTGCATGCAGGAATGTGTACTCAGCGTGTCTTTTAGTAAACTTCAATCATGAAATAATTAAACGGGACAATTACTGTGAATGTGTCATTCCCGAGCATGGTAATATCTATAACTTTATAACTGTCAAAATGAACTTTTAACTGTTATTGTAAATTCTATTGAACTCTCGTATAAGCCTTACTACACTACACTGTCATTAAGACGTAGTGCGTCTTCAAATTTACAGTGCTTGATACCCCTGCAAATGTCGTGTTGGCTGCGGGGAAATTTAGTTGTTTATTCCCTCAATTAGTTCATTGATATCACAATTTAGTAATTTTGCACAAGTGAACATAAATCCTACTCGTTGATTGGTCAAATTTGACGTATTAAGCCGTTATATTCACCTGCAGGTGAATATAACAAAACCGAAATTTTCAAAATGGCGCGGGCTAGCTGTTTTGTGAAAGTTACTGATAAAGAAATAAGCGAAACTTAAGGTTACAGAACACCTTTGAGTGTTAATTTTGCCTAAAATTTTTTTATTGGTTTCCATGGAAGCATTAGATTAGTTCTACTATCTGACCAAGTTTGGACGAAAAATGTTGAAAACTCGCAGAGTTATTTAATAAAATACATTTCGCTTGCAATAAGAAAAACATTGAAAATGTAATATTCAAATTCAATTTTCTCGCGAAGAATTTTACGGCAATTACTGATTTTTAAACGAGTTGTGCTCCTGCGGGTTTTAACGAATTTTTCTCAAATTTTCACAGGACATAGCTAAAGACGTCAGTTTCAAAATTGTGTTCGGCTTTGGTCTAATTTTGGATATTTTAATAATAAGGAGCAATTCACACAAACAATTCAGAAATATATTGCAGTCGTCAAAGAAATCGCCATATCGCGGAATGACGAAATAAACAAAAATTTCCGAACACAATTTTTTAGAACAACTATTTTACTAATAGGTTTTGTTTGTGGAAACACCACGTAAATTTATTATTGCAAAGCTTTCGATCCGTAAGCCCGGATCTTCATCAGTGCTAATAATATGTGACTTGTTTAATTCACACGCTCTTTTTAAAAAGAGCGTGTGAATTAAACAAGTCACATATTATTAGCACTGATGAAGATCCGGGCTTACGGATCGAAAGCTTTGCAGTAATAAATTTACGTGGTGTTTCCACAAACAAAACCTATTATATTTTATCACCATGCAAACATACAAAGAACTTATAACTATTTTACTGTATAAAAATGATATTTTCATAAATATATCGTAAAACCAGCAGGAACATAACTGGCAAATGCGTAAAGGTACAGCGACTTAATATTTTCCTGAATAATTCTTACATTATTTTATTGTTTGTCAATTTTACAACTTTATCATATTTTGCATGCACTGGCTAACATTTGGTGAAAATGTGATGAAAATCGGACTGATTTTGAGCGCGCATTAGCGATTTTCCACAAAACGCCAAAAAGGGTGTCCTGTAACCTTAAAATATATATTCAGTCCCAAAAACACAAAAGACTTGTGTAAAAATACTAAAACAATTATTCGCCTCAGGCTCGGTGATTATCGGGGAATATTTACGTACCTCAACTTCGTTTCGGCGAATATATTTTCCCGATAATTACCTCGCCTTCGGCGAATAATTGTTAAATAATACTTGTTCTGTTTTCAGGTTCAGATGCTGGGGTTTCACAACAAGCTGGAGACCTATATTTAGTTAATTTGGGAGGTATAATTTTTTAACAAAACCTGTAACCTATATTTTTTATTTTCTTCAAAGTTGGGCCATGTGTACTTTAACAAATTGATATAAAACCATGCAATTGGTTTAAAAACGCCATTCACAAGGAATCAGAAACAACCGTTTTTTTCACTGTGCGGAATTCAGTTTCTTGGTGCCAACGACAACGTATCGTCGCGTGTCTGGATATAATGTGTTCACATGCCATAGACGGATTTTCATATTTTTTACTGGGGTGGTGCCAGAAATTTTAGGGGGGTGAGCCGTGAGCAGGTGACTGAAGCAACACAAAGTGTCACCAAACCCCAGTAAGGTCTATATTCTAGGGGTGGAGCACTAGAGCCGCGAGGGGGAGTTTAGAGAGCAGAAAACAAAGTATCCCTGGAAAAATTTGAAAAAAATCATGATTTCTAGCTTCGAAAAAAAGTTTTTTGAAGAGTGTCATATCAATGGATTTGGCATGTCCGATTGTCTGTTGAGACTTGAGAGAGTTAAAGTTAAATGAACCTCTAACAGTGTAAACCCAATAGGCCAATACACAATATGCTTTTACTTTTATAAAGTCATTAACATTGTACGTGTCATTTGAATCAGAGTACAATTTATGATGCAACTCCGATGTAAATAATATTTGGGGCGTAAAGATTAAATCTAGGCAAGTCTATTTCCTAAAAGAATTCAAAACTAAAAATAATGTTCGTAAAAATTCGGAACGTGCCTTGCAAGCAAGCTATTTGCATGACAAGGCACAAACTTTATTCAGGGGAGATAATAGAGTTTCAAAACTTTACAATTGCTCCAATAAACCAGTGAATGCAAGCGAGGAGCGTTAGTTTCAGAGTGTTGCACTGTCTTTTTCTATATGAGTGTACTCCTACGTTTATTTTGTACCATCAACACTCTGCACGTTGGAGTGGACTATTTAATTATTTTTTATTATGCCGAATATTGGGGGGGGGGGTTGAAAATATTTTTGGAGGGGTGGACATTTTGTTTGAGGGGGTTATAGCTAATATTGGAGGGGTAGCACCCCCCTGCACCCCGCCCCCCATAAAATCCGTCTATGTCACATGCATATGGTTTGAGTTTAGAGCGCAAGAGTGAAGCTGGCGAGGGGTTTTTTGCGGGGTCCATTTTCGCGGAGAAGATTGAGTTTACCTAAATGGCTGGGGGTCTGGGGCAGCTGTAAGTCCCTAACTGCGATGCCTATAGCCTACAGTGTGTGCTGATTTTCACTAGCTCTGATTATTTTTGGAGTCAGCCAACCTTATCGTCTGCATGAGCGATCCTTTTTAATCCGGTTGGGGAGAAGTTTGCTGACCTCCCATAATTTTTCAATGCTTTAAACATAGCTTAGCAATAGGCAACAACATTTCGTAAAACGTTTTATGCCATCAATTCCTGCTTGTATATAATTGAAATAAGCACGATACATTGTGTGCAAAATTGTTTGGGGACTGAAGCATGCTACGCTGCTGCGTAAAGGTCTCACCCCCTACATGTCGCTAAATGTTTGCCGCTGATCTTTCATTGCCAGCACAAAGTAAACATATACATTTCACGTTATTTTTATCCTGCCTTTGAACTTTTGTTTTAAAGCAGCCTGTTTAGATTTTTATTTCTCTTCTAACTTTCTAACGAAGGGTCTTAATTTGTTTGAAACGTGTGATTTTGTACCCATGCTACGTTGTGAATCAAGTTGCCATGAATAATTTCTTAACATCTTTTTGCTTTACTAGGCGTAATAACAACGTTAGACGAGACATTCTGGCAGAAGTGCTTGATGTCAAATTTTAATGAGGTACAATGTCAACCTCATACCCTGCATGCATGCATGGTTGGTAGAATGTGCTATTTCTATAAACATTTTTACTTTATACTATGTACACTATTAGTACGGAAAATTGTCTTAGATTTTGTTTAAGCTAGATCAGGATTACGCTATATAAGCCTGGTTTTTACAACAACGCATGCGTAAAGGCAGTTTTTCACTTATCCTCTCTCTCCAATTGAACACGGTGTAATCTGAAGGGGTGAAAATCAGCCCAATGGAATCCTAAAAAGTGAAATGTTTCAAGGTTTTCCCGAAATTAAACTGCTTCTTATAGCACTTATTTATTTATTTATTTATTTATTGTGCTTCGCTTCCAAACATTATACAATGAATGCATTAAAGAAGCTGGGACACCACAACAGCTTAACACCAATTACAGTGGGCCCTTTACAAAATATCAATATAAATATAGAAAACAGAAATAATTAACAATTTATTGCTGAAGGCTAGGTGATTATCGGTAAGTAGGGACAGAGACAAAGTCGAAGTTTTCATTTAACAATAACCACCGAGCCTAAGGCGAATAATTGTTTTAGTATAATTTCATAGGTGATTATTTGGGAAAAAAATAAAAATACACATTTCTTCGTCATTTAATAGTCAAAACTTAGGTGATTATCACGTTATAATCACCTCAACGGCAACGAATCAGCTTGGAAAATTTTCAATAATCACCTAAGTAATTATACTTAGTTTACTTAAGGTACGTTTACACACCGCGATCCGCCGTGTACGACTCGTATTTTGGCGAATCCAATCGAGTAGGCACGCGTCAATTGTGCAATTAAAGTTTCGCTTCAATTCAGATTTTTGGAATTGAGGCATCAAATGAATTATACACCAAAATCCGAATCGCACAGGACAAATCGCAATGTGCAAACGCCCCTCTAGTAACAGCAAGTTAATGGTCGGATGAGACTTCTGCTTTTGTTACATTTGACACAGACAGTCTTCCAAGTTCGTGGATCGTCAACGTTGTAGCAGGATCGTAATGCAGTCAAGTAGTATGCTAATATTCCTTTCTTAAATTGAATAAAAGATAGATTAATAAGCCGTAAATGCTCCGGGAGAGAGTTCCAAGTTCTAGTTGTACAAAGAAAGAATGATCGATTATAAGTTGTTGTTTTATGTTTTCGTTGACGGAATGAGATTGCGTTGACATTAGCAGATGATCTTGTGACCCTTACAGGAGCAATACGTTCAGGTAAGGAATTTTGAGATATCGATACAATGCCAGTAATAGCTTTGAAGAAAAACATTAAGTCTAAATATTCATGCCAAAATGAGAGGGGAAGAAGTTCTGTCAAAATGAGTCTGTCTTTATAGGATACGTCACACATGAATGGGAGGCCTAGAATAAACTTTGAAGCTCGGCGTTGAACACGTTCCACTCGGTTGATGAGCTCCACCGACTGCGGCGACCACACTTGAGTGGCGTAGCCCAGCGCTGGTCGCACAACTGCCAAATACAATGCACGGCGAATCCTTTTATCCGTGATTTCCGTTGCAGATCTACGTACGAACCCGAGCATCCTATTGGCTGCGGCACATCGATCTAGGGTGTGTTTGGACCATGTCAGATTACTAGTAACCCAAACGCCAAGATCTTTCTCCTCTGTTGTTACTGCGAGGGTTTTGTTTTTGATGGTGTAGGGGAATTCGGTGGTAGTTTTTTTCCTGGTAATTCTCTGACATTTGCATTTATTTTGATTAAATACAAGTCCAGAAGAAGTCGACCACTCCTCAAGATTATCAAGATCACTTTGAATCGAGGCACCGTCTATGTGAGAATCGACACACTTGAATAATTTTGTGTCGTCAGCAAAAGAAGCTACGTTTGCGTTATTCACCACATCAGGTAGGTCGTTAACATAAAGGAGAAAGAGTATTGGACCCAGGATAGAACCTTGAGGGACACCAGACATAACAGGTTTTTCAGATGATGTAGCCCCTAGAACAGTCACGCGTTGCCTTCTGTTCAACAAGTAGGAGGAGAACCAACCGAGTAAACTACCAGAGATGCCAAAGCAGTTGTAAAGTTTATGAATAAGAATTTGGTGGTTAACTTTATCAAAGGCTTTGGACATATCCATGTAGATCACGTCAGTTTGTTTCCCAGCGTCCAGTAAAGATCCTATATAGTCGTGCACTTCCACCAGCTGGGAAGTACAAGATTTTCCTGGAATGAAACCATGTTGGGAGTTGTTGATCAAGACTACCAAGTGATCTCGGATGTTACGAAGAACACAGCGCTCGAGAACTTTCGAAATTATAGAGAGGAGAGAAATGGGGCGGTAGTTTTCAACTTGATCCTTTTCCGCTTT